GCAAAACCCTGGTTTTGTGGAAGTGTTCAAGCTCCTTGTCACCATGGGCTTAGGGAAAGTGACCCCCTGCACAGTACAGCTCCAGGGAATCCAATCATGATTGATTTAAGATAATTACAGCAATCCCATTTCCCTCTTCTGTGAATAGTTTAGACATTGGACATGTGATACAGTTCTGGCCAGTGAGATACATGAGAATGGCTTTGGGGAAATGTTTTCCTTGCTCTTAGAGGTCCACAGAAGATGATGGTCCTCTTTCTGTTGCTCAACTTGGCTCTACAAGGTGGAGATTCAGGGAGCTGCTGCAGTCATCCAGCAAGCAAGGAAGAACTAGGCTGAAAACAAAAACCACCACCAAAGAAAAAGTCTAGGTCCTGGATAACATTTTTGAGCAACTTCATTAGCCAACCCAGAAATTGCCCTATCTTTGGACTCCTGTTATTTGAGATAATAATCTGCCCTTATTTTAGAAACGTATTTCATTATTTGCAACTAAAAGCATTCTAACTGTTGCAAATAGGATCATATTGCTTGTATTATTTTGAGCATGCTCTTTCATTACATAATATACCATGAACATTTTCAAAAGTCAATAACTTTTTCCTGTAATAGGCTTTCGAATGGCTGCACTGTATTCAACATGTTGTGAGACATTTAGGTGTTGCCAGTTTTTGCCACTATAAATAATGGTGTGACAACACCCTGCACAAATCTTTGCATGTTTGTTTAGTTCTAGGGGTAATTTTCTAGAAACAAAATATTGGGCAATGGTTATATATATTATCAAGGCTTTTCCTTAAATTTCCCTCCAAAACTTTGCACTGATTTGTAATCTGCCATTTTTACCAACTTTCCTTGTTAGCATTCTATTTTTAACTTTGCGTTGAAGTATAACGTACATACAGAAAATAACATAAATCATGCTTAATTCTCACAACCTGAAAACCCTCATATAACCAACACCCAAAACAAGAAACAGAGCATTTTGAGTCCTGGGGGAATCTTTTGTTCCTCCACCCAGCTGGTACCCACAGAAGTAACCATTACTCAGATTCTATCACCACAAATGAGTTTTGCCAATTCTTGAACTTCACATAAATGAAATTACATATACCTATTCCTTGTGCTCATCATTGTATCTGTGTGATTCATTCATGTTGTTGAGAATAGCAGGTTTCTTCCATTTTTTGGTGTGTGGGATCCCCATTATATGACTATACCAATGATGCATTTTACTGTTGATGGGCATTTGAGTTGTGTCTAACTCTTGGCTATTTTAAACAAAGCTGCTGTAAAATTTCATACATGCTTTTTTGATGGACATGTGTACACTAATGTATCTTGGTTTGTTACCTACAATTCAAATTGCTTAAATTTTGAATTCAAACTGGCAACACCTAAATGTCTCATAACATATTGAATACAGTGCAGCCATTAAAAATCCTATTATGGAAAAAGTTATTGACTTATGAAAATGTTCATGGTGAATTGTAAAATGAAAGCGCATGCTCAAAATAGTGTAAGCAATATGACCTTATTTGCAACAGTTAGAATGCTTTTAGCTGTAAATATCAAAATTTGGTGTATACTTAATATGAAATTTCCAAACAGTTCTCCAAAGTAATTGTATCAATTTACACTTTCAAAAACAATACATGAACGAGTTCCAGGTGTGCCATGTTCTTGTCAACACTTAATATTCACAGTATTTTTGTTTTTACTCATTCTAGAAAGTTTGTAGTGATGTTCATTGTGGTTTCAATTGGCTTTTTCCTGATGAATGATAATGTTGAACACCTTCTCATGTGTTGATTGGCCATTTGAATATCCTCTCTTGTGAAGTGCTTGTTTTTTGCCCAAAGTTTAATTTTTTTGTTTTATTGGTTTCTCAGATATATGTATTGCCAATATCTTATCCCAGTATATGTTTTGCCTTTTCATGCTTCTGATGTCTTTTAATGAACAGAAGTTCTTAATTTTAATGAGGCCTATTTTGTGGGTAGTGACTTTGGTGTTCTAACAACTTTTTGCCTATCCCAACATCATAAAGATATTATTCTGTATTTTCTTTTGGAAGCTTTATTGTTTTGTCTTTCACATGTAGATCTAGAATCCATTTCACATTTATTTTGGTGTGAGGTAGGGATCGAGGTTCATTTTTTTTTTCCCATATGAATATCCAATTGATCTAAGACATTAGGCCATTTATTTAAAAGGCATTCTCTACCCACTGGATTGCAGTGGCATCAGTGTCAAAAATCAATTGACCATGTAAGTATGGGTCTGTTGTTGGACTCTATCCTACTTCATTCTTCTATTTATCTGTCTTTGCACCAAACCTACATGGTCTTCTTAACTACTGTAGATTTACAATAAGTATATCTGATGGTATGAGTCCTCCAACTTTATTCTTCCAAATGATTCATTAACATCATTTTGGCTATTCTGGGTTTTTCTGCATTTTTTATGTGTATATTTTAGAATCAGCTTTTCAATTTACTTCCAGTATTTTGATTGAGATGGCACAAAATCTATAGATCAATTTGGAGAGAGATTGATATTTGGAGAGGAACAACATTGATTCTTCCAATCTGTAAACATGGAATGTGTATGTAAATCCATGTCTTATTTAATTTCTCTAAACACTGTTTTATAGGGTGGATATCTTGCGATTTTTCATTGTATATATTCTTACTTGATTTTAAAAATTCAGTTGTAAATGGTGGTTTTTAAGGTTCTATTTCCAATTTGTTTTACTAGTATATAAAAGTACAATTGATTTCTGAAAAGTCACCTTGTTTAAACAACCTTTCCAAATTTGCTTATTAATTCTAATAGTTTGTTTATAGATCCTTTTCAATTTTTTTGCATACATCACCATGTATGTGCGCAAATCATAGTTTTCTTCTTTCCTTTTAAGTCTCATACTTTTCAATTTGTTTTCTTGCCATATTGCACTGGCTAGGATCTTGAGTGCAATGATGAATAGAAGTAGTGATAGTAGCCTTGTCTTGTTCCTAACCTCAGAGGAAAAGCATTCACTAGTTTATATTAAAAGATGTTAGCTAAGGGTTTTTGTAGATATCTTTCATTAGGTTAGAAAAGTTCCTTTCTATTCCTGTTTTCTGGTACTCTATTATGAAAAAGTGTTGAATTTGTCTAATAATATTTCTATATCTATCAAGATCATTATATACTTTTTCTCCTTTATTCTGTTAATGTGGCAAATTACATTAAAATAATGTTAAAGTAACTGCATTCTTAGAATAAGCACCATGTGGTCATGATATACAATCTTTATATGTCACTACATTTGATTTGCTAACATTTTAGTTAGGATTTTCACATTTATGCTTATAAGTGATATTGGCCTATAATTTTTTCTTTCCTTTCTTATAAAATATAATAATAACATGTCAGATTTTTAAACTCAGGTTTATATTGGTCTTGTAAAGCAATTTTGGAGGTGTTTTTTGTTTCTATTTTTCTGAAATAGTTTAAATAAGATTAGCACTGTTTCTGCCTTAATTATTTGTGGAAATTCTCCAGTGAAACTGACCCTGGAAGTTTCTTTGTAGGAAAATTTTCAATTACAGATTTAGTTTTTAAATAAATATTAGACTACATTTTTAAAAAACTTTTTTATATGGTAAGTTGTGTTTTCAAAGAATTTGTTCATTTAATCTAAGTTTTCAAATGTATTGACAAAAAGTTGTTAATACCATGATATCTTTTAAATGTCTCTAGAATCTGTACTGATGACCCACTTTCTTAGCTGGTATTCTGTTTCTCTCTCTCTCTCTGACTCTCTCTTCTTGGTAGGGGTTTATACATTTTATTTACTTGTTTAAAGACCTAACTTTTGTCTTTGCTCATTTTCTCCACTGTGTATTTTTTTTTTCTTTTCGATTTCTGCTTTCATCTTTACTATTTCTTTCCTTCCACTTTCCTGAGGTTTAATTTGCTGTTGTTTATCTATCTTCCTGAGATGGAAGCTTAGAATCAGTAATTTTCTGTATATCTTTTTCTCTAAGAATTGCATTTAAGGCTATAAATGTTTCTGTAACCACAGCCTTTAGATGCAGCTCACAATTTTCGTTATCCCACTCAAAATATTTGCTATTGTAATGTTTCCTTTGGCCCATGGAGTATTTAGCAGTGCGTTACTTAATTTTCAAGCATTTAGAGATTTTCTAGTTGCCTTTTTATATAGATTTCTAATTAACTCCACTCCAGTTAGCATATTCTGTATAATTTCAGTTCTTTGAAATTTGTGTTAATTGCTTTATGACCCATTGTGTAATCTGTTGTGGTAAATGTTCCACAAGCACTTCGAAATAATATTCACTCTGCAGTTATTCAATATAATGTTGTATATATATTAACTAGATAAAATTGCTTAATTGTGTTGTTTAAATATTCAGTATTTCACTGTTTTTTGATTGCTTGCTTGTTTTAGCATTTTCTGAGAGAAGTGCGTTAAATCTGTAAATCTGATTTTGAATTTGCCCATTTCTTTTTAAAAAATTACGTTACTTTTGCTTTGTATATTTGAAGCTTTGAAATGAGGAGCATATTAATATGGGGAAGTTACTTCTTCCTTTTTGCATTTAATGATACTTATTGCCTTTAAATCTACTTCATCAGATAGTAATATAACCACACCAGCTTTTTGTTAATGGTTTCCAGCAATATCTTTTCATTCTTTTCCTTTCAACTTGTGTCCTCATATATCATGTGTATCTCTTATTAACAACTAATATTTGGATCTTGTATTTTTAGTTCAATTTGACAATTATTTCATATTATACTGTTTATCCATTTATAATTAATGTAATTGCCAACATAGTTGGGTTTGATAGTACCATCGTGTGATTTGATTTTTATTTGAACCATCTGTTCTTTGTTTTTTAATTCCTCCTTTTTTGCCTTTCTTGACTTATTAACTATTTTTGTCACTTCTGTTAGCTTCATGGTTATATGTTCTTTTTTTCTTTCAGTGGATCTAAACTGCATCCCTGAATTATTACAGTCTACCTTAAGGTTACACTGTTACTTCTTCTTGAACAATGCAAGAACCTTCAATGGGAGAACCTTACAACAGTTTAATTCAACTTTATCCACTCTTGCCCTTTGTGCTATTATTGTCACATGTTGGTACTCATACATATATTATGAGCTGAAGATACATTGTCATTATTGCTGGTTTAAGTAATCGATACTGTTTTATGTTTACCTACATACTTACTGTCTTGGGTACTATTCACTCCTTCCTGTGGTCTGTTCTCTCTGGGCTCATTTTCCTTCACCCTGAAGGACAGACTCTCTTTTGATTTATTGTGATACTGGTCTGCCGGTGATGATTCTGTATGTGTTTTTTTAATGAAAATATATTTCACCTTGAATTTTAAAGGACATTTTAGTGGGTGTAGAATTCTAAGTTGGCAATATTCTTTTTCTGTCTTCCATAGATTCTAGTGAAGACCAGTGGTCAGTCTTACTGTTACTTCTTTTAAGGTCATTGTTCCTTTTTCCTCTAGCAGCTTTTTACTGTTTCTCTTTGTCTTTGTCTTTCAGCAGTTTATTATGAGCCTGCATGTGGTTTTACATTGTATCTATCCTGCTTGGGTTTTGCCTTGCTTTATAAAACTAAATCTGTGGTATTTGGAAAACTCTCAGGCATTATTTACTCAAACACTGGTTATGCCTCATTCCTCTCTTCTTTCTTTCTGATACTCCACATACATGTATGTTAGAACTTTTGTTAGTGCCTCACATGCCTTTATGCTCTGTTCTGTTCCCCCCTCCCTCCCCAGCTTTATTTCTGTGTGCTTCAGTGTGGATAATTTCTATTAAGTTCCAGTTCACTATCCAGTCATACACTGTGTTCGGTCTCCTGTTAAATACATTCAACAAATTCTTAAAATTCTGATATATTTTCAATTCTAGAATGGCCACTGGATTTTTAGGAGATATTCTAACTATTTTAATTCTCCATTTTTAATCCATCTTGTGCATCTTTTCCTGTATTTATTTTCACATACTGATCATGGCTATTTTTATGTCCTTGCTGCTAACTCCAGCAGATGGGTCAGCAGTGGCTCTGCTATTTTTTGTTCACATTTTCCCCCTTCCTTGCTCATCTACTACTTTGTCACTGTCACTGTCACTGCCAGATGCTGCGCATAGAAGGACCATAGAGGCTATAGATAATATCTTTCAGTAATTAGGATTTACTCTTTTGTTCTGTTAGGAAAATGGGGATAAGGAGCTGATAATCTTGTGGCTGCATTACAGTATTAGTAACTCAGTCTGCCACTGGTACCTGCTTGTTCTTCCTGGTATGGCCTTACCAGGTTTTTCATTGAGAATCTGAACGTTCTGTCTGCCCTTGCAATATTTTGAGCTTGGCTCTTTCATTTTCCTACCCACACAAGTTCAAAATTTGACAAATGTTTTGGGAAGGAAACTAGTTTGTGATTCTTGCAGGTAGGTCCCTGGTCTAGTGTACTTGGTCTCCTAACCACCTATGCAAGAGTTTCTCCTCTGTCATTATAGATCAGAGCCTCAGCTTGCTGTAGCTCCAGAACACAGAAAACTTCTGTGGAAGAATATGGTCTTGTGTTTGGACCTCTTTTGGGTTATAAATCATTGCAGCTGACCCAGCAACCACCAAAATGGATTATAATTTCTCTCTCCCTTAGTGGAGTTCCTCTACCTGGGCCAAGGCAGACTGCTAGTCCATGCCCAAAATAGACTATTTCAACCCTATACAAACTCTGACAGCTCTTCTTCCTTTTCAATTTCATGCATTTTTTCTTCTTTCCTAATTGCCCTAGCTAGAACTATCAGTGCTATGCTGAGTACAAATAACAAGAGTGAGTATTCCTGTCTTATTGCTGATTTTGGAGGAAAAACATTTTGTCATTCATACTTAACCCAATATGAAATGAGTTACTGTATTTTATTGTATCTACATAGATTTCATTTATCAGATGGAGGAAGTTCCCATCTACTGCTAATTTGCTGAATGCTTTTATCACAAATGAGTGTTAAATTCTATCAAATCCTTTTTTTCTGCATTTGTTGAGATAATTGTATGATTTTTACTCTGTATTCTATTAACAGGTGAATTGGTTTTGGAATGTTAAAACAAACTTGCATTCCTGGGAGAAAATTCACTTAGTCATAATGTATCATCATTTTTATATGTTGGTGAATTTCATTTGCTAATATTTGTTATTTTTGGTAGATTTTATTTTTTTGAAGTTTTAGATTTACAGAAAAATTGGGAACACAGTGCAGAGTTCCTGTGGACCCCTCACCGATTTCCCCTATTACTAACATCCTACATTACTATAATATATTTATTACAGTTAATCAAACAATATTTTGATACATTATGATTAACTAAAGTCCATAGTTTGTTCATATTTCCTTAGGTTTCACCGAGTTTTTTTTTTTTCTCCTTTTCTAGGATTTTATCCAGGATACCACATTGCGTTTAACTGTCAAGTCTCTTTAGGATCCTCTTGGTTGTGGCAATTTCAAAGACTTCTTTTCCTTCTCTTTTTAAAATGATCTTGATAGTTTTGAGGTGTTCTGGCCAGGCATTTTGTGGGATGTCCCACTATTGGAATTTGTCCAATTTTTTTTTTTTAATGACATGACTGTGATCATGGTTTATTGGGTGGAAAATCATAGGCAAAGTGCCATTTTCACTACATCATATCAAATATATATATTGTCAACATTATTTATAATTGTTCATGTTGGCCTTAGAGACCTGGCTGAGTTAGTGTTGGTCAGGTTTTCCCACAGTACAGTTACTCTTTTTCCCTTCTTTCTGTACTGTACTCATCGGAAGGAAGTCACTATTTGCAGCCCATACCTAAAGAGTGGGGAGCTATGCTCCTCCTCTTTTTAAATTAGCTCTTTTTTTTTTTTTTTTGGAGATGGCATCTCTCTCTGTCACCCCGGCTGGAGTGCAGTGCTATGATCGTGAATCACCGAAGCCTTGGACTTCTGGGTTCAAGTGATCCTCCAGCCTCAGCCTCTTGAGTAGCTAGGTCTACAGGTGCACGCCACCACACCAGGCTAATTATATTTTTTTCTTGTAGAGGAGGGTTCTTGCTGTGTTGCTCAGGCTAGTCTCAAACTTCTGGCCTCAGGCAGTCCTACAGCCTCAGCTTTCCAAAGTGCTAGGATCACAGGCATTAGCACCACACTCAGCTTGCTTCTCCTCTTTGAGGGCTGAACATCTTTAAATAAATTATTTGGAATTCTTCTGCATGAGAGGTTTATCTGCCTTCTCCCATTTATTAATTTATTGCATCAGTGATTTATATCAGTATGGACTAATGGATATTTATTTTATGCTTTGGATTATCATCTAATGGAACTTTATTAATTTTATTGTTCAAATTATTTCCATGTTGGCCATTGGGCACTCTTTTTTCTTTTTGTTTTCTTTTTTTTTTTTTTTTTTGAGACAGAGTCTCATCTTGCTCTGTTGCCCAGGCTGGAGTGCAGTGGTGTGATCTCGGCTCACTGTAACCCTTCTCCCGGTTTCAAACGATTCTCCTGTCTCAGCCTCTCGAGTGGCTGGGACTACAGATCCATGCTACCACATGGCTAATTTTTGTATTTTTAGTAGAGACGGGGTTTCACCATACTGGTGAGGCTGGTCTCGAACTCCTGACCTCAGGTAATCCTCCCCACTTGGCCTCCCAAAGTGCTGGGATAACAGGCATGAGCCACTGCACCTAGCCGCATTGGGAACTCTTTAAGTGGACTCCTGTTCTCCTTTGACATAGCTCATCAATTTGTGGTATTTTTTTCTTTCTTGCTTTTGAGCCTTTTCCTACTTTCTGGAGCTACAAGATGTTCCAGGCTTATGTCATATATTTCCTTCCCCAGTTCTAGAATCAGCCATTTGTCCAAGGAGCCCTGATTCTTATTGAAGTGTGATACATCATATTAGCTTTCTAGGACTGCCATAACAAAGTACAACAAACTGGGTGGCTTAAACAACAGAAATTTATTTTCTCAAATTTCTAGCTATAAATTTCTAAGCACTTTTAGCCACAGTGAACACATTTTGAGATGTGTTTTCATTATTATTCAGTCCAAAATATTTTATAATTTTCTCTCTGATTTCTACTTTCACCAAGCAGTTATTTAAAGATGTGTTAATATCTATTTATCTGAGGATTTTCTAGATACCTTATTGCCATTGCTATCCAACTTAATTCCATTGTTGACAGAGAACATATAAGGTAAAGTTTCAATCTTTGGAAAAAATTTAAAGCTTATTTTGTAGCTTAGTATGTGGTATGTCTTGGTGAATGTTCTACATGTACTTGCAAAGAATATGTACTCTGGAGATGTTTGACATGGTGTTCTATAAATGGCGTTAGGTCAAAGCACTTTATAGTGTTATTGATAATCTTCTATACCTTAACTGATTTCTGGTCAGTTAGTTCTGTTAATTTCTGAGACAGGGGTTGTAGCGTCTCCAAACATGACTGTACATTTTGTCTATTTCTCCCTTTAGTGTAGTCAGGATTGCTTTTTTATGTATATTGAAGGTGTTTTGTTAGGCACATACACATTTGTAATTGTTTCTGATATTTCTGATATTTGTAATTGTTTGTAATTGTTATGCATTTCTGATAAATTGGCTCTTTTAGCATTCTGAAGTGTTCTTCATCTCAGCTAATACCGATTGTTTTAAAATATATTTAAACTGATAGTAATATCACTGCTCTAGCTTTTTTTTTTTTTTCGGAGTTTCACCCTTGTCACCTAGGCTGGAGTGCAATGGCGTGCGTGATCTTGGCCCACTGCAAATTCCACTACCCAGGTTCAAGTGATTCTCCTGCCTCAGCCTCCCAAGTAGCTGGAATTACAGGCGCCCACCACCACACCCAGCTAATTTTTCTGTTTTTAGTAGAGACGGGGTTTCACCATGTTGGCCAGGCTGATCTCAAACTCCTGACCTCAGGTGATCCACCCACCTCAGCACCAGCCTCCCAAAGTGCTGGGATTAACAGGTGTGAGCCACCGACACCCGCCTGCCTCCTAGCTTTCTAATGCTTGCATGAGAGGTCTTGTTTGCTCTCCGTTATACCGTTTCTCAACCTACATCACTACTATACTTTCTATTGAACAGAGCTTTGCTTTTTTCTGTAAGAGAGCACAATTGATCTCTTTCTCTTTTCAGTGCAGTCTGACTAAGCTGCTCGTCTTAACTAGAGTGTTTAACGTCCAATTTATATTTCTCAAATCTCTTTCGACATAGTTGAGTATCCAGCCCTGCTAATTTGCTGTTGTGTTTCTATTCGTCACCGTTGAATCTTTTCTGTTTCTGTCTTCCTCTTTCCTTGCGTCTGCGTTTTGATTACACATTTCTTCAAATAAAACCTTTTCTGCTAATTACTTTTTATAAATCTCTTTGCATAGCACCT